AAATCTGTTCTGATGAAGAAACAAACTCATCTACATCTTATATGGCCTGAGAATGAGTCATTTTTTCAAGACATTTAAATTGTTGGGTGAACTACTCCTTCAATTCTTCAAATATGCATCTGTCACGCTGTTTCTAAAAGTGTCCGCCCTGTTTGATGGGCTGTATAGGTTAACACTGTTAACACTGCTGTCTGTTGTGCTTCAGGGTGAAATGTGTGCTATTCCTGAGATCTTTGCCCACCTTACCCAACTGCTAATGCCTTTGGCTGCAGGCAAAATGTGCGTCGTCCTGGAGGTCAGTTGTCATTATCACAACAAATCTTTTTATCATATTTTCATTTTTTAAGACCTGTTATCTGTGTTATCATGTTTAGATTGTATATATCGGTTCTTCTGGTTTCCTTTGTTTTTTTTCAGGGAGGGTATAACCTGACTTCTCTGGCCCAGTCAGTTTGCCAAACCGTCCAGTCCCTTATTGGAGATCCGGCCCCTCGGCTGTCAGGGCTCACGGCTGCTTGTGAGAGGTGATTTGATGATTGTCAATCATGCGGCGAGTGCTTTTTATTGGACAAGCTGTTTGCTTGAGTTAAAGGGGTCATATGATGCGATTTTCAAGTTTTCCTTTCTCTTTGGAGTGTTACAAGCTGTTTGTGAATAGATAAGATCCCTAAAGTTGCAAAGACTAAAGTCTCAAATCCAAAGAGATATTCTTTATAAAAGTTAAGACTCGTTCACACCCTCCTAAAATGCCTCGTTTAAACACGCCCCCACATGTCTACGTCACGATGTGGAAAGATTTGCATAACGCCGGCCAAATGTTCACGCAAAGAAAGAAGGCGTAACTTTATTGTTGCTGCCACCGCCGCCACCATGTTGTGAAGACACTGTGTGTTTCGTTGTGAAAGCGAAAACTACTTTGTTTGGCTTTCCAAAAGAGGACACGACTAGAAATCAGTGGTTAAGTTGTATTTACTACACTGTTCCAGAACAGTTCAACCCAAATATTCAGATGTGTGCAGCACATTTTATGGAGGACTGTTTCCTGATCCTGGTAGAGTAGACTACAATGCGGCTGTTCTGACTCACAGATTGTAAGTACGTTTTTAAACACATTTCATTACACCAAATATACAAAATAATGTTATTTTTTTAGCAACGTCATATGACCCCTTTAAGGTGCACTGGGTAGCACCACCCACAGTCAACTCTTATTGGTCCAAAATCCTGCCCTACATACATCAAACAGTAAATATGTTCAGATTGTTTGTGATTTGGTTTCAATGGGGACAGACACATTTTTTAGCGCTAGAAAGCTGGAGTAATATGCCATGTGATTTTTTTTTTTTCCGCAGTGCACTGGAATCTATCCAAAACGTTCGCAACGCTCAATCATCTTACTGGAGCTGTTTTAAACACTTAGGTTAGTGTTCGTTTACTCATTTTTACTTAGAAATTGCCATTTTCCTTTCACATGGATTGTTTTGTTTTAGTATTAATCACAGTGGTGGACAGTAACGGAGTAGCTTTACTTCGTTACTGTACTTAAGTACATTTTCATATAGTATTATAGTTTTTGTTAAAAACATTTAGAATTAGCTTTTATTTTTTTATTCTCAGTTTTCATATTAATTTTAAATTATCATAACACTTTAAATGAACATAACACTTGTCATGTGCTTTTGTCAGTTTTTATTATTTAGGTTCAATTTATCTTCATTACAGTCTTAGTTTTCATTCATTTCCAGTTAGTAATTTTAGTGCTTCAACTTGTTTTACTCATTTACGTTTAGTTTTTCATCATTTTATTTTCAGCTGTATTTTACTTAACGAAAATGTTTTAATAGTTTTGAATTTAGTTAACGATAACAAGTCTGTTATGAAGGCAATTGGTAATAGATTTAAATATGTAGTGACATTTAAATGAGTTATTATTTAAATGTCATTTTAACATTTGACAGCTACATTTTATTGTTTTATCTTTTACGTTTTTATCGGTCTCATTCTTAAAGAGGCTCATTTAGGAACGAGCACCAAACGACCCAGAATGGATGAGAACAGTGGAGCAAAAGAGGCAGAGAAACCTGCGCCAGAGACCAATACAAAGAAGACAACACAGGAAATTGTGTGGCCTGAACCTTTAATCAGGACTTCACCTGATGTGCGAACAGTCGTAGCGCCCCCTCCTGGTGTGGCGGTCTCACTGCCAGAGGGCTGCCAACATTTGGGGGAAGTTTCTCAAAGTGCCACAAAAGAAGTACAAAGTTTTCGGTTGGTAAAATCAGATCAGAAACACAGAGTCACACGTTTGGGCCACATTATAACCATTTCAAATTGTTTTTTTTGTATGTTTGTAGGGATAAACATATCCAAGACGTAACAGACCAAAACATCCTTCAGCCTCTTGGAAATATCATTTCAGTTCTTGACCAAATGATGAATAAAGAGGTGAGGATGCGATAACAGGGGTCTGTTGGTTATTTTTGTGTGCAGTATATTTGGTAACGGACTGTAACGCTTCATCAGGTGCGTAATGGATGCATCGTGGTGTCTGACTTGAGTGTGTCCATACACTGTGCTTGTGAACGTGCACTAATGGGCCTTGCTGAACGGTACAACACTTTTTAGACTAACAGAAGAATTACCTTCAAATCACCTAGATCAGATAAATAGTTGCCTGTTATGTTATACAGTGTTATTATAAATGCAGTGCTTTTGTGTTTGATGAAGGGTGCTGGTTGTTTTTATTGGAGATGGGAATATACCAGTCAAAACTAATGACGGGTGAGCCAGTTATTGCATATATTTTTTGTTTTATTGTTTGTTTTATAAATTGCAGAGCTGAATTTGTCTTTTAGAATAAATATTGAAAAATATTTTTCAAATGTAATATATATATTATGTTTTGAATATTATGTTTATACATATATATATATGTATGTATAAAGTTAGTATTTAAAAATGTTTTAAATTATTTTAGTATTACATCTATTTTTAGGAAAAATATTTAATAATAATGAACTTTATCTATCTTACACTTATTTTTAAATACTGTTAGAATTTTCTATTCTTTAGTATTATTTATATACTGTTATGTTTTTTTATTTATTAAAAATTAGAATTAGCTTTTATTTTTATATTTTTTATTTTTTTATGTATTTTTTAGTCATTTTTCTTATGTGCTTTATTTATTTATTAACCTATTATTTATTTATTGAACATTACTGTTTAGGTTTCATTTGTTTATTTCATTTTTACTGTTTATTCAGTTTTAGTTTTTATTTATTTCTTGTTAATAATTTTACTGCTTCAGCATATTATTTCAGTTAGTTGTCAAGGCAACATTTATAATTTTAATTTAGATATGTTTTTCATCTAATATTTACTTCTTTTTTTTTTTCCAGAAGAGCTAATAAAAATTCAGTTAATTAGAAATTATTTGTTCAGTTCTTCAAAAAAACTGCAGTGGGTGAGTCTCTCTCTCTCTGTCTCTTCAGGAAGGTGTTTCTAGTCCAAATCTGTGCTGAAGAAACTGAAGAGGAGTGCGGGAACCGTTTGTCCTTGTGTCTGAGAGAGGTTTGTGAACACACCTGATATTATCTTGGGTTTTGTGTTATTTCTGTGAAGTCACTTCCTCTTCCTGCTCGTCTCCAGGGTGAGAGCTTCACGGCAGGATTCATGCAGGCGGTTCTGAGCCTGATCCTCCCGCTGGCGTATGAGTTTAACCCCTGTCTGGTGCTGGGGGTTGTCAGAGACAGTGGGGCAAAGACTCATCTGACACCAGTCTGGGGTCACCTGACCAGCCTGCTCCAAGGCCTGGCAGGGGGGCAGACGCTCACCCTACTGCAGGTCAGAGTTTTTACATATTTTTGTATTATTTTAAAACCGATTCAAAACATACATTTACATTTTTTTTTAATTTCTTTTTATTTTAAATGCTTTTTTTTCTCTCTCTATGTAGTCCATTTCAAATGTATTTATTTTATATTTTTAAATAAATGTATTTATTTGTTTTAAGTTGTTTATTTTAAATGTATTTATTTGTTTTAAATACCTTTATTTATTGTTTAATTAAATATATTCATTATTCATTTAAATGTATTTGTTTGTTTATTTTACATTTATTTTACTTATTGTTTAATATTAACTGTTTTATTTTTAATGTACATATTTTATTTGTTGTACCCTTTTTAAATGCATTTATTTATTTAGATGTATTTACAATATTTATTTTTAATTTATGTATTTTAAATGCATTTATTTGTTTTAAATGTTTATTTGTTTGTTTACATGTATTTTGTATTTATTTTATATTTATTTCTTAATTTACTTGTTTTGTGTATTTTTCATTTTATTTTACTTGCCTCAATCTTCTGGATGAGAGTTGCGTGCTACTAGTAAATCACCATACCTGCATTTCTTAAGGGCTATGACAAAGATCTGCTGGAGGTTACGGTCTCTGCCCTCTCTGGGGCCCCTGTCCCTCCCCTCGGGCCCCTGGGGGCCCCCAAACCTGCAGATGTTCAGATGATGGAAAAGCAGCGACAGAGGCTGCAGAAACGCTGGAGTTTGGTGCAGGAGTGTTGAGGCCTTCTGCGTTGATCAGGTACTAATCCCGCAGTTCACTACAATATTATATGGAGAATGTGATTGAGCAGTTTTGCAAAACTAACTCATCTAAAATGTCATACATGGTGAATTATGTGTTATGTAACCTTAGAATACACTCTTAGATGAATAAATTAATAATAATGTGTGTTTGTGCAGTTTCAGAAAGCTGATGGAAACCTCTGGAACATTGAATGACCTGCGTTTTGATGTTCAGTTTTTGGTACTTTTTGTAAATTTTGTATGGAATTAAAAATGAACCTGCTACAGTTTTTCTTGATAGTTTTTTGTTTGACCATGATGTTTGTGTAGGGTTTGTTAAGTTAGAAGTGAGCTAAATCTGACAAAACCTCCATTTGAAGATGTAAGCATATTATAAATGTTATATTTTGAATTATATATTATAAACCACTTGTTTTCCTCATTTGGATAAAGGCATCTGCTAAATGAATAAATGTAAATAGAGCAATGGTTTTTTTATGTAGAAAGTTGTCTTATAATAATGATTTATGTAGTTTTATATGCTGTAATAACAGAGGTCTTAGTTAGGTGGATGTGTTATGTGTGTGTTCAGTATCTTTCTATGACTGACTCTAAGGGTATGGCTCAAGATGTTAGAACACTTTTCCAGATATGACTATATAAATGACTGACTCAAAATATATCTGCAGTGAAAATGTGCTCATACTTACTTTTTTGCTGATATTTCACTATCACTATTGGCGCTGCTTTCTGTTAAATTCTTCACCACACCCAGAGAAAACGGTGAGTAGCCTATGCAAAGTTATATCTTCTCGTTTTCTGAATCTTTGTTTCTCATTAGTTATTATTAGACAATTATCATCAAGTAGTATTAGAGATATGTCACCATTATCATCTATTTTCAAAAGTTTGCTGTTTTTCATGATCCGTATTGTTGGCATGGGATGCTTTTCCAAACCCACTGGGTGGCAAATGTTACCAGTTTATAACTGTTTCCAATTGGATTGAAATCGATATTCACAAGGAGGCGCTGAATGGCTAGAATCCTCAATTTAGAATCGCATTTAGAGCCTTCTCTGTCTTTTTTGGTGATATGTGTTATCGTATAATGTTATGCTCACCTAAATCTATAGATTTTAATCAGGTCAGACGCCATATTGAATTTTACCTTGTTTTGTACAATGTCTTTACAAGTATAGAAGTACTATATCACGTAACTTTCAAAACTAACAACTTTCAAACTGTTTTACACAGATTTTGTCTACTGAAAGACTACATTTTTTTCGTCAGTTGAACTTTTGGCCTCTTGTTAAACTACACTACAATCAATTGTATACATTGTATTGTATCCCTCACAGCCTCGTTTTCATTACTGGTTTTACCTCGTTTTCATTTCATAACATGGTGTTACCCTGAATAATGTATATTAATCCTTATTAATACCCGGTAAACAAGCATAAACAAATTCTTTATTCTATGTAGAATTGTAAAAAACGATCATTTTTCGGTGAACTGATTAGTCAGCGCTGAGAAAAGTAACATGTGGCACGTGACTTCGCCGCCCATCCTTAGCACCGATCTATGCAATATTTTGTACATGATAAATGACACTGAGTGAGTGTAGTGTCTGTTGAATTGAAAATACATAGAAAAAGTTAAAACAGTAAAATAATAATTTAGCGCGTCATACCTGACCAATCAGAGACCAGATTCGGGCCACTACGCCCCACCCCTCATAGACAGTACTAGTTTCCATTCTTCTCACTCGTTCGGTTTCTGTGAGTGAAGCCGCAGCGGAGCAGATGGCTGCGAACCCCACCAAACCATCCGGACAGACGGGCAAGATGAAGAAGGATGAGTCGCTGCTGGGAAAACTGGGAGGAACGCTAGTTCGCAAAAAGATTAAAGAAGGTAATGTTTTCCAGGATATTGCAACTTAACAAAGGAACGGAGAAAATAATAAGATGACATCACGATTGATTTTAATCGCTGTCCATGGTGCTGCACGTGATCAATACACGAATTTATAAAAACGCTTCTTTCGTTCCAGGATATTTAAACGCTTGTATTATTTATATTAAATATATATATATATACAAATGATAATATTTAATATAAATAATATATAATATATATATTTCTACTAGACTAGTGTAAGTAACTGTGCAATGATAGTTGTATAAGCATTGTTGATTTACTCTTCTTATATGAGCATAACTTAAGCCACAGACAGTTATACTGTGGTGTTGTTGTCTAGGACAGAAATAGCCAGGTCAGGAGCTCAAGGTTATTCAGATAAGAATGAGGTGGACTGCTTTGTCCTTCTGTTTACTTATATTGTTTCAAACTCTAAAGAGTTAAAAATCTATGCATTTTTGATGGTATTTTGTGCTATTTTAGATCAGACTCACACCTTCCAGCCTCCATCTGTTTGAACAGCTGCACAGTAAAGTGTGTTTGTGTAAGTGTGTGCGTGTGTGTGTGCCATTGTGGAACAGAGTGGTCGTCCTGTTTTTGTCCAGACAGTAACACAGGAGTGACAGCATGTGTTCAAGTCTCTTGAGTCACTCTTTGTTCAGAAGAATCCTTTTTGGGAACTTTCAAAGACTCTTTATAGATTATTTAGAGGTTCAGTATTCAGCACCGTTGTAGCAGCCAATTTCTGGCCTGATAAACTGATAAGCTTTGGCTGAAAGTCTAACGGTTATTTTGAGCTTGTCAATTTTAAATACTTTTGCAGTTGTTTGAAAGGTGTTTTGTAGTTTAAAGTGACTGCCTTGTTAAGTGGTTGATATACTGTAGTGTTTTGAGTGGCTGCCAGGGTGTTCTAAATGGTTGTTAGTAGTGTTGGGAAGTAACTACACTTTATGGTTACACTTTATTTTATTACAAGGTTACACTTTATTTTAAGGTGTCCTTAAAATTAAATTATTGCAATCTTAATTCAAGAGATGAAGGATTTTGAAAGTCTGACAGAAATCAGTGCTGAGTACTGCTGTGAGGTTAGCCCTGCTTGCTTTAAATGTTTCAAAATGATTAATAGCTGAAAACATTTGTTAGAAATTTAGAAAAGTAATCAAATGTAATCAGTTACATTACTGTAATAAAGTAAATGAAATAGTTACACTACTTATTATATTTTAAATAGGGTAACTTGTCTATTACATTCCCAAAGTAACCTTCCCAACACTTGGTTGTTAGGGTGTTACTATGGTGTTCAAATGGGTGCTGGGGTTTGTTGCTAGGCCAGTTGCTAAGGTGTACTGTATAGTTGTTTGGGTGTTCTGGGTGGTTGTTAGGGTGTTGCCAGGATTTTTTGGCTGGTTGTTAGTGTGTTGCATGGATGGTTGTTAGGGTGTTTTGGCTGTTTGTTAGGGTGTTCTGGTTGGTTGTTAGGATGTTGCATGGGTGTTCTGGAAAGTTGTTAGGGTGTTGCTAGGGTGTTTTGGCTGTTTGCTAAGGTGTTCTGGCCTTTGTTAGGGTGTTCCTAGGGTTGTCTAAATTATGTTTGGGTGTTCTTGCTGGTTGTTAGGGTGTTGCCAGGGTTTTTTGCCTGTTTAGAGTGTTCTGGCTGGTTACTAGGATGTTGCATGGGTGTTCTGGAAGGTTGTTATGGTGTTGCTAGGGTGTTTTGGTTGTTTAACACTAGCTTGCTAGCTAGCTTGTTTAACACTAAAAAATGACTGAATTTAACGGTAAAAGACTGTAAAAATGCTACAGTAAAAACCTGTTAAATGGTTAACGGTAAATTCCCTCACTATATACGGTGAAAAACTGTATTGGACATTTACATGTAATTTTACGGTAGTATACCATTTTTGGAAGTGAAAAAAGAAAGTATAATTTACAGTGAATAACCGTAAATTGACATTCCCAGAATTCCCTGCGTTACATTTCAAATTTGATGTTTTTTTGTTGAAATAACTATGTTTCTTCTTAGGTTTTTCTTATCAGTTTTGTATATTAGGGTTGTGTGTTACACCTAATGTTGTTAAATTAATGTTTATTGCATTATTTCAGTTTCATGTGTGTTACCATGATGGTGTTTAGTGTTTGTGTGAATGACACTGTGCACCTTCTATATATGTTAGTATTTAAAAGCTGCTTGTGATGGGCTTTGGTTCATCATGTGACTTTCTCATCACCACCTGCATTTGGTGGTTATCAGTGTATTACAAAGGTACAAAACAGATTTAAGTACTTCAATAGGTTGGTATATTACCATTATATCAGTTAATGAAATTACGGTATTTAACTGTAAATTTAAGTTAAAACCGTAAAACCTAAAATGTTGCTACCGTATTTTTTACGGTAAAATTCTGGCAACCACAGCTGCCGTTTTTTTACCGTAAATTTTACGGATTTTTTTACAGTCTACCTCTAACACTAGCTTGCTCTATTCTTTTTCTATTCTATGTTTTCTTTTTATTTATTATATAATTAAAAAAAAAAACTTGCTACGTGTACTGCGTTAAGCTAACTGAGACATTGCTCTTTTGTTGATTTTGATTGCTTCCATTGTCCTCATGTGTAAGTCGTTTTGGATAAAAGTGTCCGCTAAACAACTAAATATAAATGTAATGTAAATGTTTACATAGGTGTTTTGGCTGTTTGTTAGGGTGTTGCATGGGTGTTCTGGAAGGTTGTTAGGGTGTTTTGGTTGTTTACTTGGGTGTTCTGGCTGTTTGTTAGGGTGTTCTGGATGGTTGTTAGGGTGTTGCTGGGGTGCTTTGGCTGTTTGCTTGGGTGTTCTGGCTGGGTGTTAGGATGTTGCTAGGGTTTTCTGAATGGATGATTTGGCTGGTTGCTAAGGTATCCAGGCTGCATGGCCTGTATTCAGAACTGTGCTGATTGGTGGATGTAGTTTGAAAACTCTGAGAGGAAACACAATCATACATTTTCATGGCAATTTGTAGAAAATTTGATTGTTTTTGCTGGTCAAGTGTCTTAGAGATGAGTGACTTTAGTCAAGCAGTGATGTTGTTTAGATGAGTAAATGTGACGTTTATAGCGCCACCCAGAGGAAATTTGTTAGAAAGAGTGGTTTGTTTTGAAAGTAGTAGTTGTTATGATTGACAGCAGCATTTCCCATCCCTGCTGTGCAGAAGCTGATATCAGCAAGCCCTCTGATATATATGAGGATGTGTGAGTGTATGTTTGTGTGTCAGGATTTTGACTTGCATATTATTGTGTGTGTATGAGTGATACTGAGAGATCTGGCTGTTGCTGCCTCCAAGTGTCCTTAGACGAGTTCAAAGCTTTGAGGAACATGGATGTCAGTAAGTTTCACTCCTGTCTATGTTTGTACATTGAGCATCAGTGATGTTTATCTGTGTTTGTGTGTAGCTCTCTGAGGTGAAGTGTAGCTGTGTTAAAAATAGCTTTAAGTCTAGTTTGTCACCATGGATAGTTTTCAGCTCCTAAAATACCTTTCAGCTACGTCAGTGTTAATACACTAATCAGGATGATGAAAGGATGTGTTTATGAATATAAAAAGTTATGGTGAAGGTTATGAAATGGTCATAGTATTTCCTAAGGAGCATTTTTTCCTCTTATGTTAATTGGTTGGTTATCATCACAGCTCAGTATTCTCAGATAATACTTAACGTTATACTTTTTAGAAATTAAAAAACACTTCATTTAATGGTCCATATAGAAAAAAAAAGTTATTCATAAACGTAGCCTAGATTTTATTGAGATTCAAATATATATTTTTTCATTATATAATAAAAAAAAAAAATTTGTATGCATCTTTTGAGAAATGTTCTGCTCAAACTGTAATAATGGTTCAGTGTTTCCAACAACAAATACTTAAGTGACCCTTTAAAAAAAAAAAAGTATTTCATTATGTTAATTTTCACATATATTGGTCTTGTCAAACTAGCTTATCCCTGAAACAACATTGAAATAGGATTGGCACAAAACGTTCATATTTTGTCATATTCATATTTTGAAATGAATATTAATGTTTATTAAGGTTATCTGGTACACATGACTGACAGCATATAATCCAGAGATTAATGACAGACAGTGTCTAATATGGAGACTAACTGTGGACTGTGTGTAATGCAGGAAGTTTGGTTGACATGACACAATCATCTTCTTTACATCTGAACTGTGTTACTCATCTGGCATTCATTTCCCACTCCAGCATCCCAATGATCCCACAAATAAGTGCTGCTATATTTAAGAGCAGCTCCATTCCTCTGACCGGACTGTTATTTTTGTCAGCTTTGTAATGAATAACTTTCCCCAAGCCGTACAGACAGACACACACACACACACACACACACCGCTGACAAACACCACAGTGAGTGTGTATTGATTTCTCAGGGAAGTGTTTGTTGTGTCGTGTCTGTGTAGCCACTGCACTCGCTGATCAGCAGCTTTTTACTAATTGATTTGAACGTGAGAAATTAGCTTTGAGAGCACATCGATGACTTCCTGAAAATGACTTGTCATTAAAATAAATTAATAATTTAATTCATCAGAACTGTTAATATATAACAAAAATCAATAATCTAAATGTCTCAGTGACCTTAAATATTTAATCAATTTTAGAATAGAATAGAATAGAACAGAATAGAATTATACAACACGCATCTAAAATCTGGAAATCTTTGAAGATCCATGAAGATTTCATGTGTTACAGAAAAACTTGAATATTTAACCCATAATAGAATAGAATAGAATGGAATAGAATTAGATAACACACATTTAAGATCTGGACAATTTTGAAGATCCATGAAGATTACATGTGTTGCAGGAATACTTGAATATTTAATCTGGAATATAATAGATTTAATTAGACAACACACTGATCCATTAGAATAGAATCCATCTAATCCAATAGAATACAATAAATGAGACCAAAGACATCTAAGATCTGGAAATCTCTGAAGATCTATGTAGATTTTGTGTGTTGCAGAAAACTTGAATATCTAATCTGTTGATAGAATAGAATAGAATCAATTAAAAAAACAGACATCTAAGATCTGGAAATAGCTGAGGATCCATGAAGATTTAATGTGCTGCAAAAGAACTTGAATATAGAATAGAATAGAATAGAATAGAATCATTTGACAACAGACATTTAAGATCTGGAAATATTCAAAGAGCCATGAAGATTTCATGTATTGCAGAAAAACTTGAATATTTAATCCAGAATAGAATAGAATGGAATAGAAAATAATAAATTAGACAACAGACATTTAAGATCTGGAAATATTCAAAGAGCCATGAAGATTTAATGCGTAGCAGAAAAACTTGAATAATTAATCCAGAATCGAATAGGATGTAACAAAATAGAATCAATTAGACAATAGACATTAAAGATCTGGAATTTTTCAAAGATCATAAAGATTTTGTGTGTTGCAGAATAACTTGAATATAGAATAGAATACAAATGTAAAATATGAAAATCTTTAAAGATTAATGAATTGATTTCATGTGTTGCCTGAAAAATTGGATGGTCTAATTCATTATAGAATAGAATAGTACAGAATATTAAGACAAAAAATAACAGTTTATTGTGTTGGAGAAAAAAATTCAAGACAGATGTACAATATTGTAAAACTCTATAAGAGCAGAGTGTAGAGCAGAGTCTCGTCCTCATTGAAACAGGAGCAGTGAGGGTGGGGGGTTTCAAAGGGACAGAAATAACACGTGATGACGCGGGTGCGACTGCTGTAGCCACACTGGCGGCCTCCCACACACACACACACACACACACACGCACACACGCACACTCGCCACCGAGACTCACTGCAGGACATTAGCAGGATTCAGCGCTGTTTAACGGGACATGGCTGGTCTACTGTGTGGAACGAAGAAAAGAAAGCAAGGTAGACTTTGGGCTGTTTTATAGTGCAGCAGTTTAATAGATCTTAATTAAATGAATGCAGATGTACGTTGTCATGTTAGATTTACATGTTAAATATTTGATATAAAATTAAATATATTTATGTATGAATACACATGCTTTTGCAGTCATACACTGAAACATTATTATAAAATATTATAGTATTTATAATATAGGGTATGATTGTGTTAAGTAATAATAATAGCAGGTCTGTTTGGTGCACAAGAACCTGTACAGTGTATGCATGTTCACTATGGTTAACAATCAGTACATGGCTATTTTATGCTGTTTTTCATTTAAAAGCATGGTTAAATAATGCAATCGCTCTTAATTAAATTAATTAACAATATTTAAAAAAAAAACATATATACAGTACTTAATATAAATCAAAATGCATTTGTTTGTGAATATATGTAGTCAGTATGTATATATTTATTATGGTGTAGTATTTAATACACAATATTAGCATTGATTACTATAAATAGCTTCTGTTTCTAAAGAATTATTCTCTGTATACGTGAAACCTAAACGGAACTGTAATCCTAAGAAAATGAGGCATGCTCCATGTTTCATGGTGCCCTAGAGGGGAAATGCACAATTATGATGAAAAGTAGAAGTGTAATCTTGCAGGAAATGCAGACTGGGCGCGAGATGCTGCATGCTCTGTGTAGATCTGCAGGGTGGATGAAGAACTGTCTATGTGAAACTGTCCCTCTGGACCTTAAATGTTTATATGAGTGCGTCTCCGCTTACATGGGGGGCTGAGGACAGACCCCTGAAAACATGAATGAATCTGTCTATCCTTCTAAAGTCATTTCCCCCCCTCCCCCCGACTGTACCGTTAACAGCACAAAAAAGTAATCTGTTACCATTCTTATTCATCTTCATCAAAAATGAAAATTCTGTCATCATTTACTCACCCTAAAGTTGTTCCAAACCTGTTGGTAACCAAACAGGACCATTTCTGGTCCCCATTGACTTCTATTGTATCATTATTGTTATTTTATATATTTTTTCCAACTAAATGAAAATGAGAAATGTTGCTTTGGCAACTAGCTGAAATAAAATAAGTTCCATGTAACTACACTCTAAACAATGCTGGGTTAAATATAACCCAGCGCTGGGTTAAAAAGGGACAAACCCAGCTATTGGGTTGTTTTGACCCATCTATTGGGTTGTTTTGACCCAGCGGTTGGGTTGTTTTGAACACAACCGCTGGGTCAAAACAACCCAATAGCTGGGTTTGTCCCTTTTTAACCCAGCGCTGGGTTATATTTAACCCAGCATTTTTTAGAGTGTAAGTTAAACATATAACTTCAACTTATTTTATTTCAGCTAGCCAAAGCAACATTTCTCTTTTTCATTTAGTTTAACTTGAAGTCCTAACAACTATATTAAAAATGTAACTGAAGTGGAAATGAAAACAGAAAATATGAAAATAAAATCTAAATTCAAATATTAATAAAACTATAATAGTATATCACTGATACTAAAATAACACTGTCTCAAATGATAGTTTTTTGTAAGTACAGTATGTAATTTGATTTCAGCTTTCTATCCTTATTTGTAATGTCAAAATGAAGAACATAAGTTCATTTCACACTTTTAAGAGCCTCCAAAAGGCGTTTGATGGCATTAAATAATATAATGAAATATATGTGTAGCTTGCAAACAGTTTTATTCTCCGAATAAAACTCTAATATGCTTCTTTAAGAAACATTCGTATTATGATTGTCAATGTTGAAAACATTGTTTTAGCTGTTTAATATTTTTGTGGAAACTGATACTTTTTTTTTTAGGATGCTTTTATGAATGGAAAGTTCACAAGAACAGAATTTATTTAAAAAAGAAATCTTTTGCAACATTATAAATGCCTTTACTGTCACTTTTGATACATTCAATGCGTCTTTGCTGATGGTGTGGGTGTGTAGCATACAGGAGGAACTATTTCTGGTGTTTGGATTTGACCCTGATGACTATTTGCGTTTTAGAGGAAGTGCACTAAACTGAGGCTGTTTTCCATAGAACGAGACATCAAGTCACATTATAAATGAACTGTAATAATCTGACAGAGGAAGAGAGAGAGTCTCAGCTGATTAATCACTTCACACTAATCAGTTAATTGAAACAGCAGTGAGCTTCTGGTATTGATTTAGCAATAGCAGCGAGTTATGCGATATTAGCCGCTCTGCTCATCATAGATGTTTTCCTGAAACAATGCAGACAAACATGAAGAACCCTTACTGTGTGCCTTGGTACATTGATATTTACCATGGTATTGAATTATTCATATATTCCAATGTACTTCAATAGTATTATCATGGTACATGTTCCAGAAAATATGATGCTTATGATGCTTTATTCGTCTTCTTTTGTCTTCATAGTGAGTGACCTTCAGGAAGACGGTAAGAATGCCATCAACGCCCCCCTCCTGTACGCCGGCCCAGAGCTGCTCCCTGAGGACACGCTGCTTGGTAACATTTGGCTTCTTATCATCCATTAAAATCAATGTAATGTCTGACTCCTCCACTAGATGTCACTAAGAATAGAGAGCTGTTGTGATGCTGTATATCTGTAAATTAGCATCACTCAGATTAATGCAGAAAATAATTCAATCTTTATTTTTTTCTTTTCCTGAAAGCTTAAGTTAGAATAGTTTGCAAAAGCAAGATTATAAACACAACAAGGTTGTGAAAGTGACTAGTGAGTAGATGAGTTTACATGTTTGGATGTTTAATGTCCCCAACAACCTCTGTAGTCCCATTTAGACACTTTTTTACAAGCTTTTAAAAAATCACAGTGAGGTATTACTGATTGTGTTTTCATCAAAAATGGAAATCTGCTGAAAATGTACTCGCCCTCAGGCCATATAAGATGTAGATGAGTTTGTTTCTTCATCAGATTTGGAGAAATGTATAGCATTACATCACTTGCTCACCAATGGATGCGCTACAGTGAATGGGGGCCGTCAGAATGAGAGTTCAAACAGCTGATAAAAACATCACAATAATCCACAAGTAATCCCAAGTATTTTCACTTGTAAATGGTGCTTTATCTGTGCGTATTTCTCTCCTGATTCAGAGGACTTGTATTTTAGCTGGAAGCAACTAGTTCAAAACATCTTTATAATGGATTTGTTTCTTGTAAACATGCAGCTTTTTGCTTTGCAAGACATTAACTGGTGGACTGAAGTGGTGTGGATCACTTGTGGATTATTGTGATGTTTTTATCAGCTGTTTGGACTCTCATTCTGACGGCACCCATTTACTGTAATGCTAAATTTCTCCAAATCTGATGAAGTAACAAACTCATCTACATTTTGGATAGCCTGAGGGTGAGTACATTTTCAGCAAATGTTCATTTTTGTCTGTTTTTGTTCTCTTAGTTATGAATTTAAAGAGAAAACATCTGAGACAAAGCTGGCACTTAAAGGGGTACTATTATGGTTTTTCACTTTTTCAACTTTAGTTAGTCTGTAATGTTGCTGTTTGAGCATAAAAAAGATCTGCAAAGTTACAAAGTTCAAAGTCCACTTCAAAAGGAGACATTTTATTTAACAGAAATCAATTTTCAAAAACTACAACGAACGACTCGTTTGGACTACAACGCATATTTTCCGGGATTTGTGATATCAGAATTGGACGAGACCTGGTTGAGCTGCACTAGAGAATTAAAGTGTTATCACTATGTCGGAGACACGCTAGCCTTCCCAAGGCAGACAAACTTAGAGTGGTTACAATCATCTGGGTTTAAATCGCGCTCAAATTGATTTGATTTTGACGCAATATTTACACTGAAGCTCGCAGGTGGCTATGGTAAGGGGCATGACATTTCCCGACCAGGCGCCGAGTGAGCCAATCACAGCACACACTGGCCCAGCTAACCAATCACAGCACATTTCGTATTTCAGAAGGCGGGCCTTCATTTGATACAGGAACTATTGGACCCGTTCATGCCAGACTGGGGAGAGAGGTGTTGTAATGTAAAATATGTGAAAAATTATGTGTTTTTCGAACAACCTAGTATGAGAGCCTGTTCTGGTACACCCCCAAAACAAAATCAAGACTTTGTAAAAGAGCATAATAGGACCCCTTTAAGCAATGCATTACTAAGAACTCCTAAACTAAGTTTTGTGGTATCGTTGGGTGTGGAAGCTCCATGATCGTTTGCGCCATGTCTCTTACTTACCCTGATTTCTGAGTCAGACAGATGGTGAAATGCACCCACACCCAAGACAGTTCTTCAGTTTTTTTCTTTCTTCCTTGATTTTTGCAGAAGAAAATGCAGAGAGGACCATTCTAGACCCCACTTCCAGAGAAGACCTCAATTTTAAAGACCTCCAGAAGGTAGAAAACACCTTTTCTGAAAGCTTGGATGAACATTTCAGAGTAAAGTCTGTGGAAAGGGAAAAAAAAAGAAATGGCAGATAAAGACAATAACACCACTTTAAATTTGACATTAAAGTATGTTTGGAGTTTTAGCTGTGTTATTACACCTGGTCATCTTTCCTCTTTCCTCAACTATATATTACATATTTATATTTAATTTATTAAAGCTTTATTTTAATTAACCCAATAAATTATACGTTTTTAATCATTTTAATTTTAGTTAACAATAACAACACTGCCTAGGCCCAGACTGTAGAGCATAAACATGGGGCAAAAATGTTGAAGATTAAATGATAAAAACTTAACAGAAATCACCAGTGATTGTTATTGGTCCATTCTAATCAGTGCTGAAAAAAAACATGATAATAAAAACCTATCACACTTGACCAATTTAGAGTGAACATCTGGCCCACTAAGCCACGCCCATTTTGCATAGTTACCATTCTACTCACTGACCCATTTTCTATGATACAAACTCTTCCTCTCAGGTTCTCATTGACTGGATCAACAGTGAACTGGAGGAGGACCGAATCATCGTGAAAGACCTTGAGGAAGATCTGTATGATGGACAGGTGCTGCAGAAACTGTTCGGTGAGAGAAAGACTTAAGACAAAGATCTTTTCCGTTCTTATTCTCGAGTTGATCTTCTGTTTGGTCTTTTTCTGTGGTGTTTTCAGTGCAGTGAGGATGCTCTGTGTTCTGTGTGTCGTGTCCTTCAGAGAAGCTGTCGGGTCATAAGCTGAATGTGGCAGAGGTGACGCAGTCAGAGATCGGACAGAAGCAGAAACTGCAGACGGTTCTAGAGGCTGTTAATGGAGTTCTCAGACCGCTGGACTGGAACACGGAGTGGAGTGTCGACTGTGAGCACTTAAACACACTCGCATTTAAAGGAACACTCCACGATTTTTGAAAATAGGCTCATTTTCCAACTCCCCTAGAGTTAAACAGTTGAGTTTTACTGTTTACGAATCCATTCAGCCGATCTCCGGGTCTGGCGGTAGCACTTTTAGCTTAGCTTAGCATAGATCATTGAATCTGATTAGACCGTTAGCATCTCGCTCAAAAATGACCAAAGAGTTTCTATATTTTTCCTATTTAAAACTTGACTCTTCTGTAGTTACATCGTGTACTAAGACTGACGGAAAATGAAAAGTTGCGATTTTTTAGGCCGATATGGCTAGGAACTATACTCTCATTCCGGCGTAATAATCAAGGAACTTTGCTGCCGTACCATGAGTGCAGCAGGCGCAATGATATTACGCAGCGCCTGAAAATAGTCCCCAGCTAGGTAACTTCCAATAAGCCTATTTTCAGGCGCTGCGTAATATCATTGCGCATTGTTTTTTTCAAAAATAGTGGAGTGTTCCTTTAAAGGAACAATTCAACCAATAATAAGAATGACTAAAAATGTATCCGAGTTATCATCATTGCCTAAAACTAAAACTATTAAAAACATTTTTGTTAATAAATCTCAAATAAAATAAAATGAGCAACTAACTGAAATAAGTTTAAGCACCAAAATTACTAAATGAAAATAAATAAAAACTAAACCTGAAACGGTAATAAAAATAAACAAAACCTAAATAGTACTATTAAAAAAAACTAATACTAATGACAAAACAAACTAAAATGAAATGAAAATTGAGTATATTTACTACTACTACTAATAAATCATGCTAAAACCACATGGCTTTTTTCCCCATTCTTATTGGTTGACTGAAATATTAGGAAACAAATATAATAAGGGAACAAATGTAAAAACAAAAGTGAATTCCAAATATGAATACAAATGACAATAGTATAAATAATGCAATACAACATGACATTTACCTATTCTTAATGGTTAAATTAAATATTATGAACACAAATATAAATGTGTATATATAACTAACTACAAATAAATAAAAACTAAAACTGAAAAATAAAAATAAATAAAAATGAACCTAAGTAATAATGTACTACTACTATTAATGACAAAATCACGTCTTAAAATGACTAAAATTGTAACTAAAATAAAATATTATAAAAAGCTATTAATTAAATATTATTAAAACAAACATATATGTATATATTTATTATTCCATGTAACATGCTCTAAGTTGTGCACAAGAGACAGTAAACTTGAGAACATTTTTTATTTTTAATTAAATTCATTTTTAAATATATGATCAAAAATAAAGAAATGTGTTCTCAATTGTATTGTTGATGTTAAGTCTGTCTTATCTTCAGCAATCCACTCTAAGAACCTGGTGTCCATCGTGTACCTGCTGCTGGCACTGGCCATCTACTACGCGGCACCCATCCGCTTACCTGAGCATGTGTCCGTCAAGGTGATCGTGGTCAAGGTATGCTGGGTTTATTTAAGTGTGAAATTGAACATTATATCAAATATCTTCACCCTAATTACAAAGGTTTGTGTTTGTCTCAGAAAAAGGAGGGAATCCTGCAGACTGCTCATGTGACCAAACATCTCACAAGTACCACAACAGAGTAAGATAAGATGCTCCAATGTGGCCATCTAGTGGTGAAAGATGATTATAACAGAAATGTAGGCTTTTGTAGTTGAGTGTGTGGTCTGATGCTGACTTGTGCGTTCACTGTTTCCAACAGAATGATGATTGGAAGATCAGGCAAGTATTTTCATACACATTTTCATGTTTTTCCTTAAGAATCAATAAGCTGCTGGAAAATCCAGGTCATACAGAGGTCTAGTTTTAAAAAAATTGGAGCTGGCTCATTGCTGGTCTATGGAAGCCCGTTTCTGCCACTGAATAAAAAAAAAAAAAAGGCTATTGCGTCAGAATTGCGAGAAAAAAGTCAGAATTGCGAGATACAAACTCGCAATTCTGACTTTTTTCTTTATATCACACAATTCTGAGAGAAAAAGTCAGAATTGCGAGAAAAAAGTCAGAATTGCGAGATACAAACTCACAATTCTGACTTTTTTTCGCAATTGCGAGTTTATATCTCGCAATTCTGACTTTTTTCTCGCAATTATGACTTTTTCTCTCAGAATTGTGTGATATAAAGAAAAAAGTCAGAATTGCGAGTTTGTATCACGCAATTATGAGAAAAAAAGTCAGAATTGTGAGATAAAAAGTAGCAATGAACTTTTTTTATTTTTTATTCAGTGGCGGAAATGGGTTTCCATACTGGTCCTAGGTGGTTTATTCAAGTAGAACCTATAAAATCAGTGAACATCAGGAACTAGTTTTAGCTGTATTTCCCACAAGTACATTATGATGGTTCATCTGTTTTTTTTTATTAGTCTGGGAAAAATGGTCAAAAACTATTTAATTTGTTGTCATTTGCAGAACGTGATGCTTTTGACACCTTACTGGATCATGCACCTGACAAACTGAATGTAGTGAAAACAGTAAGGACCGGTTTTTTATGCGACAAGAATTTCTGTGCAATGGTACCGATTATACAAAAATGAACATTGAATGTCTGTTTCTTTAGTCGCTGATTACATTTGTGAATACACACTTGAACAAACTGAACCTGGAGGTGACGGAGCTGGAATCACAGGTATGAACTTTATCTGTTAACTCTCACACAGATCTGTAGATCTAAACCGCTCAGAAACCTCTTCATGTGTGTGTGAAGTTTGCAGATGGTGTCTATCTGGTGTTACTGATGGGATTGTTAGAAAATTACTTTGTGCCGCTGTACAACTTCTACCTCACGCCTGAAAGCTTCGAACAGAAGGTAAGTGTGCCACAGTGGTCTAGTGTGGACTGGTAAGGTCTGATGTGGTCTAAAGAGGACTGATTTGTTCTGTTAGGGTCTAATGTAGTCTAATGGAGCTTGATTAGACTCAGGATTTGATGTAGTTTGATGAGGTCTGATTAGTATTTATTAAATACCTCATCAAACCACATCAGACCCTGTCTAGACTTCATAAGTCCACATCAGACTAAAATACACAATTTCAGACCACATCAGACTCAAATCCACATCAAACCATTATCAGACCTTATCAGATTTCATGAATCTCTTCAGGTGACATCACACTCAGACCACATCAGTCTCAATGAGTCCACATTAGATGAATAGTATTTATAAAGTTTGATTGGGTCTGATATAGTTTGATGTGGACTTGTTAAGTCTAAGATAGACTCATTAATTCTAACAGTATCTGATGCGGTTTGATTTGTTTTCAGATATCTCATGTGGATTCATGAAAACCTTGTCAGACTTCATGAATCCACATCAGACTATATCAAACAACACCATGCTAGACCACATCAGACCTCGTCAGAACCAATCAGACTTCATGAATACTGTTCAGACCATATCAGACCACATCAATTCCAACAATTTCACATCAGATGAATAGTGTTTAGGAAGTCTGATATGATCTGATGTGGACTTGAGTGTAATGTGCCATCATTATGTCTGACAGGGTCTGATGTGGTTTGATGAAGTCTGGTTTGTTTTTAAAAACCTCATTATACTGCATTATACTGTTTGATGAGGTCAGGTTTGTTTTCAAATGCCTTATTAGAAATGCATCATACTCTGTCAGACATTATGAATCCACATCAGACTACATCATAACACTTTAGACTAAACAAGTCCACATCAGACAATTAGTATTTATGATGTCTGATACGGTTTGATGTAGACTTGAGTCTAATGTGCAATCATTAAGTCTGACAGAGTCTGATGTGGTTTGATGAAGTCTGGTTTGTTTTTAAAAACCTCATTATACTGCATCATACCCTGTCAGACTTTATGAATCCACATCACACTACATCAAACCACATTAGACTAAAGTCTACATCAAACCAGTCTGATTACATTGTGAATACTGCTCAACAAGTCTGTGGTCTAATCTAATGCGGTTTGATGTGGTCTGATGCGGACTTCTTAAGTCTGATTATGTGGACGTTATGGAATTCTTATGGCATTAAACTCACAATTACTTGAGCTTTTCTATTTTATAACATTTAAAACTGGTTTTGTACTAATTACTATGAAAAGGATTGCTAGAGTGTTTTTCTGTCTTGTAGGTGCATAATGTCTCATTTGCTTTTGAGCTCATGCAAGATGGTGGATTACAGAAACCCAAAGCGAGACCAGAAGGTACCAGAAAAATCAGTGCCATGAATATTACATCAGCGTTATATACACAACCTTTAGACATCATAACAGACCAGCTCATTGTCTGCATCTGTTTCATAATGTTACCCACATTATCCACTAGATGGAGATGTTCTTCAGTTGATGCAGCACACTACTTCTCCCTAAACATACTGTTTTCCTTCACAATGACAGTTAACATATTCAAGCCTCTGTCTGTTTAACAGTGATTATGTTGTTTGTGTCCTGCAGACGTGGTGAACTTGAATCTGAAGTCAACACTCAGGGTGCTTTACAACCTTTTCACCAACTACAAGAACTCAGAGTAGCACTGAAAGCGATCCGAGGAAAGTCGCTACATGCCTCACTCTGCGCTCACACATGCACACACATCCCTGGTGTTACTTTTGTATGTAAGAATGCAATATTTTGTATTATTTGGCTTATTTATGCCCAGAATCGAATGTATTCAGCCTTAATGATGCGTCAGTGTAGCAGCTCATTCAAATATTTTATTTTTCTCGCATTTGACTTACGCAAACGAGGCCTGGCATTGCTTTAAGCACTACTTCATTAAAAAGTCATTCATTAATTGAATGACTTTTTGTGCTGGGATGCACTGTGTATTTTATTCTAATAGAAATACTGTAAATATTTCAAATAAACAAGTACTTTCTACATGCTGGAATTAATTCATTTTGACATTTTGACTCTTGATGGTCTCAAAAAATGAATTTATAGAGTTTTTTTAAATTAAAATAAACAGTTTTCATACACAGAATTATTCATGCTTAAAAACCTTGGTCTGTATAAATGTTCATGTGTCTCACACAGGTTTAAAGATTCATTTAGTGTGATTCATTATGACAGACTTACACTGTACCTTTAATTTATTTAGTGCTGTTTGCTACATGAAGCATCACTATTAGTGTTGCTCACACTTAGTGTTACAAATTTACAGCTTCCAGATGATATACGTACATTAAAGGTTGACACGTAACTTTTTGTGTTCGTGCTGGAGACATTAATGATTCAAATTATGGGGCTCAACGATGTCTTACTATAGAATATTGGGGGTTCGCTTGACTTGGACCAATAAGCAACCACTCTAGCAACAAATTACCAATCAGTCTGAACACCCACGTAATGTCCTGCCAACAACCTACGAAACCCAAGAAATTACATAGCAACTCCCTAGAAACCATCCAGAAGACCTCAGCAACCAGTGCTGGGTAGATTTCTTTGGGACGCAAATTGATTACAAATTACATGACAAAAAAATGTAGTATTAACGTAATCCATTACATTACACATTTTAGGTAATAAAATCAGACTACTTTGATTAATTTTAGATTACTTTTGACCTAACTTTATATCACATTGATTTAAATAGGATAATCTTTTCCCATATTGATGTAAAAATAAAAGAGGAAAATATATTTCATTTGTTGTTATTAACAAAATGAAGTGCATTAAATATCCCTTTACATCAAGGTTTCCTAAATTGGAGTTCATGAAGGAACTGCAGGGGGCTCGTGAATTTATTGAAAAGCTTATATTAATTAAATTATAAAAATGTAAAACTAAAATAAACCATTTTAAAATAACAACAATCAAACTAAAGCACATACAAAAAAGATTTAATATGTTTACCTGCATGTCACGTGACCATTATCCAACGTCAGAGAACCGTGAACATGCAAATGTGTTAGTTAATTAGTTAGTTAGTTAGTTAACTTATTACCTTAAAATCTCAGGGGTACTTCAGATAAATATATTAGGTGAACGAGGTTCGGCTGACAAAAAAAAGTTTGTGAATCTCTGCATTACATATAAATGAGACAAAATAAACTTGAATTTGTGCATTTTAATGTGTTCGAAAGACAAAAAGCCTTCTAAAGACATTGATATGTCATAATAACCCACTGAATAATACTTCAATTGATGCCATGTTGAAATTTTGAGAAAACACTTCTTAAAGTTGAAATGATTTTTGTAAATCCAGTAGTCTTGCTCTGTGTAATTAAAGCCATAGTGACTGGTCTTTGTGTGAATATCCACAAAACTGGATAACTTTCTGAATGTATATAAGCAGTAGGCTTTTTTAAAAAGATGAAAAAGAAGAATTAGGCAGAATCAATAAATAATGAATCAAAAATATGTAATCAAGTTATCAATAAAAAGGTAACTGTAGTCTGATTACGAGTATTTTAAAATGTAATATAATCTATCATTACAAGTGCCTAATTTTTGGACCTAACTGTCAGCAACTGAATAACAGTACCTTGGTAACCACCCAGAACACTGAAGCAATCACTGATTGAGTGTAAGTGGTTATTAGACTGTCTTATCAACTGCATAGCAACTATGTTGTTTTAACCTCTCTAAAATCCAATCAGAACTCATAAGGGACCCTACAGCAATACCCTGGCAACCAACTTACAACACTCAAGCAACCGCATAGCAAAACTCTAGCAAACACCTAACTCCTATGCAACCACTCAGCATCATGTAAGGACACTCAGAACACCTTTGCAACTGCGTAACAACAGTTTTGCATGGGCAAACACCATTCTCATTTCTTTGGGGCCTACGCAAACCGTAGTTTCCAGTATGACTGTATCTCTCAGGATGACGCAGAATGTAAACACATCCACAGATGGGTGAGTCTAGTCTGAAGCTAAATAATCCTGTTGTTTTCAGATGCACCTTTGAGGGTCTTTTTTCAGTTGTTTGTTCTGGATTCAAACTTGCGTTTAATGGGGGAATTCATTGGGATAGTAACCATGGTAACCCTCTGGCCCAAATTACCTCTGGTTTTTCTAGTCAAAGGGAGGCGTTCTCTCCATCACAGTCAGAGAGAGTGGAAAATATATGCAATTGTTGCTCTCAAACCTGGAGCGTGTTATTTGAAGAGAGGAAACATCATATCACTATTTGGTTGTTTGCTAGTGAACGTTATTGTCTGTTACTGTCTCAAATATCATGTTTAGACCCCTGTACAGTACAGCCTTGTTAGAGGGTCCTGTGTGTGTTTGCTGCACTGTGTGACAGTTTAGAACATGATTTGTGCTTCTACAAAATAGAACAAAAGAGGAAGTGGTGCCTTACCACTTCCTGGCTGGTGTTTGAAACAGGCCTCACCCGTATATGAGTTCTTGTTTTTAGTCGATTCAGAAAGATGGTTGGTTGTGTTGTAGAAGTTACTCGATCCTTGTAGGAAAGGTGACAGGACTGTTTGGACGACATTTCATCTGAAAGAAGGATTTCTCCAGACGTGTGGCGAGAGCTGAGGTGAAAGTTTTGACAGCAAACATGACTGTACTGTATTGCTCTTTCATAGCATCTCAGTAGACTTCATGGATTTCTCTATTAGGTTCAATCACGCCTTTGTCTCAGATGTTTCTCCTAGAATTGCTTTGGAGAATCAAAATTGATACAACTGTTAATGAACATTAATTGTAAAGCTAATCTGGATAGCATATTTCATATAATTTGGTCTTTGAAGAAGCCTATATTAAGATATTTTTGATATCTGAGCATAGTTTGAGACATTATTGAGATCGTTTCTTAAACTCTACAGGTAAAAGTAGTAGGCCTACTCACTTTTTTTCCTGAGGAGACATCTGTGAAGTTTCAGTTTGCTCTCAATTTTACCTCATTGCTACACATTTAAAGCAATAGTTTACTCTAAAATGAGAATTATGATGCCTTTATGTGCTTTGTGGAGCTTGAAGGACATGGTCACCATTACATTTTGTGTTCCATACTGTAGATATATTTTTGAAATGCCAGACTTTTCATTTCTGGGCCAACTATTGCTCTAAAGAGGAAGAGAAGGCTGAGATTTGAGACGTTTCTTTCCATCTTGTTTTTCTCTCCCGCAGCATGTTTTTGTTGTCAGAGAGCTTTATGTTTTGCCCGTCAGTCTGTGTTATGTCAATGTGGGCTGGTGTGCGTGATGCAGGAAGGCAGAAATCTCGGAGCTCCGTGTGTTCTCCTCCGTTCAGATCAGTGCCGACTCCCGCAGACGTCTGCTGTGTGTTGTGGAGATTCTCCGTCCTTGTGTTTTGACGTTTAAAGTCGGCTTCGGTTCGCCGTACTTAATCATATCCATAAAAATGTCCATTCGAAAACAAAACCTCGAGATGAATCGCGCCCTTGAAATTCCCTCAGGACACAAACACGCAGACAGAACTCGAACATCACTTGGTTTTCAAACAGAAGCGCTAGAAATCAAATGCCTGCTGAGTGAAACTATTAATAAAGTTCACTTTTTGACAAAAACTATGTTTTGAAACAGTCAAAAGAATGGCAGACTGTGGAGCTGAAGAGGAAAAGGGCGAATTCGGCAGTGCTCAGGGTGAGCGATCATCACATCATCATATGACAATGTTAGGACTGTGCATCCCAATTACATTCTTCTACTGTGTAGCTACTTATGTACTTCGCTAATAATGGGAAAGAACAGACGTTTGGCTACAGTATGTACACTAGTTTTGGGACAATATATAAAAATATCTTAATTGTTCTTATTACCTAACATACTGTATATCACTAAAATGTATGTTTGAAACCACACTAGTCTTAGTACTAGCTACTATTTAATTTTTTTATGCAGTATATAGGCCTATTGTGCACAAAATGCAAATGTTCTATATGCATGGAATACCCTTCTAGATATGCCTTTATGTGTAGTAATACAACTAGAGCACACTAAACAGAACAGTATATCCCACAATGCAATGCACTCAACTTGACCTCCCATTTCCAGTATAATGAATGAACGGGAAATAATTACAGCCCTAATTTTTTGATGTAATATTAATATTTTAATAATAATAATATGTTTAGTAGAATTAGGCATACATTCAGAACATATGTACTTTAAACAGTGAGAAGCCAATCAGAAAATGTTTTCTGTCCATGTCTTTTACAAGTATGAGGTTGCTGACATTAGATTGGAGGTCTTTGGAGGGTGTGGTTTTTGGAGAGGTTGTGTCTAATTAAGGCTAAACATCTGAAATGGCATGCAGCTCCTTTAAATTAATTTTCTATTAATATTACATTATAATATTACATTAGATTTTTTTACATAAAAAATGTACAATTGATTCAGGACACACTAATCCTAATCTTCTATACTATATAGCAAGTATAGTATGTGAATTAGTATGGAGTCATACTCTTTTATGATGGACAGACCCATAGCTGAAAGCAAATAAGCATCCTGATCCTGATAACGTGGCAAATGACGTTTTATTGTTGGTTTTAAGGAGGAGAGAGAAGAATGATCATTCAGCCGACATCTTTAGAAGACCCCAAACTCAACAAACTAAAAGAGGTGAGATACTTAACAAGTTTTTAGGGTGGTGTTGCATATAGCTAATGCTCAGGTTTGATAACCGGGAGATTTCTGGTTTGAGTTATTAAAAATGTCTACTAATTGGCTCTACTAACTAACCAAGTGATCTCAGGGAGAACATAATTTCCTGAGGAGGGTCTGAATATCTGTGGATTTTCTCTGGTGCTTTGTGGCAGGTTTTGGTGGAATGGATCAACAAAACTCTGAAAGCTGAACACATTGT